ATAACAAGCATAGAGGAAGGCGGGGATGGATACATCATCTTTACTTTAGATTTTGCGTATTTGATCTGCCTCCCTAGCAATAGTCAAACACTGCATTTTATTCAACCAGAGCCTGATACAGGGCTTGGTGTACAGTCCTATATAAATTCATGGATGAATGGATTTATGACTGGGTATATGTTGTTGCTCATTGGATGAAATTCCTCGTAAGTCTTAAAAGGATTTGAAATGTGTGAGCCAGGTCTGGAGGTGAACTTTAATGGGTAAATGCCAAACTGTTTACTATATGCTCCCCAAGCAGTTAGTTCTTTATTCTTGATTCCTTTTACCTTGTCTGATTCAATGCTCTTCACATACTTCAAGATTTAAGTTAAAGGCCAATTCCCAAGGTCTGCTCTCCAAGCCCCCATTTTTTTTCTTCCTCTATTATCTGAAGACGATACCCACCTTTCCACAGTCTTCACCACACTCTGGTTTGTGGAGTAGACATTTGAACATGCACTTGGTCTGTATTATTTAGCTCATAATGTTCTCAATGGAGTCAGCTCATTTCCCAGTGTCTAGGTCAGTTTCTTATAAAAGGAGGAATTTACTAAGTGTTGGCTGAATGAGAAAATTAACGCATTATAGTGGGCACAAAAATCACTTCCTTTCATTATCTTATGTGACATGACTGTGGCACCTCCTCATACCTTAATACAGAACCCCTTTACTCTAGTCGGTACTATACTCACTCAGATTTCAAGTCCATGAAGGTGAATGAGAGTTCACTTGCAATGGGGGTCATGATGGTAAAGTTCAAGATTTTAGTTTGAAAGTATGGTGACTCTTAAAGGAATAACCTTATTTTCTAGCTTTCATAGAATGCAAATAAATCTAACTTGGGACCATGACATGTCCTTCCTGCTTCACAATCCCACGAGGAGCTGAATCGAAGGTCCCTGTAAGCAAACATGGAACTTGATTTCGCTAATCCATTTTGCATTCATTAAACCTCTAGCATATGACAAGTATTTTGCTGAGGGATGGATTGTCCTTTTCCCAGAGATAACCCACAGTCTGTGTCTGGGTAATGTGAAGTTGCAAAGGCCTGTCATGATCTGAAATTGATCTGAAACCAGTATGAAGGATGACTGAGTGCCAGAGTTTCTCATAGGATCTGTGGAAGGCTTTGCTACATGACTGAATTATCACTTGTTCCTCTGACAAAGTCAAAGTCTAAGAAATGAATAAATACCTAATGTCCTCCAGCACTATACCACAGGTGCCAAAGTGGGTGCACAGCCTGCTGGAGGTGAGCAAAAAGACCACAGAAGCAATCCCACCAAAACTCCTGTTTCTGAAGATAGCCCAAAATAATAGGAAGGTCCCAACTTTAGAGACTGAAAACCCTTGCTTCAATTTCCACTTTTACCCCTTAGCAATTGTAGAAATTGACCAGATCCATTTCTCCCTGAACCTCATGTAGTCATCCATGAAATGTGAAAATGACTGTCCCACAGCTGCTGCAAGTGAACAGAATATGTAACATATTTATCCCAAGAATGAACACACAGGCATTCAAAGTACAGCAACTCCTTTCTGCCAATGTAGCATCTGTATATCTCTACGTGATATCTTGTCAAAGAAGTTGAACATTACCTACTGACCTAGTCCCTTCACGCTGCTAAAATAGAGTCCCATGGGCTGGAAGTCTTATAAATAACATAAATGTGTACTTTGTAGCTGTGGGGTCTGGAAACTCCAAGATCTAAGTGCTAGCAGATTTGGTGTCTGGCAGGGGTCTGTCTCCTGTTTCATGACAGGCCATCTTATTACTGTGTTCTCACATGGTGAAAGGCACAAGGGAACTTTCTAAGGTCTTTCTTAATGGCACTAGTCCCATTCACAAAGACTCCATACTTGTAACCTAATTACCTCAGAAAAGCTGAATCTTCAAGTACAAACTTTTAGTCTATTGCACCTGACTTCAAGCCCAGTCCTTCCAAGGAAAATCACATTTCTCACATTTAAAATCTGATGATATTTTATGTAGATCTTAGAAATTATAAGAAATCCAGATATTATTCTGAATAAATCCTATTTGTTGATTTCAAAATGTGCCCAGGATTTGACCTACCTTCGTGGAAGCTGTGATGTTGTATCCTAATCTCCAGTAAGCATCCTCCATTGTAAGAGATTGCTTTACCCGAAGTTTTGTCCCTTTCCCAGAGATAGCCCACAGTCTGTGACTGGGTAATGGGAAAGTACAAAGGCCTGTCTTGGTTTGAAACCAATATGAAGGAAAATCCAGTGCTACAGTTTCCCATGGAGACATAGAGGGCTTTTCTGCGTGTGTATGACAGCTTGACTTCTCCCTTCACACAATCCTCCTTTGCTCACTCTCTTACAGCAGCACACCCACAGAACTTCCCATGCCAGTCTCTACCTTTGAGTTTGCTTGCAGATGATTCTGACCTAAGACAGATGCATTATCAACTTAACCTTGATATCAACCTCTCACTGGGGAATTCTGTATCCATGTTGTTTGCGTATAGTGACAGGTTTTGTTTTCTTGCTAAAGCTCACAGAGCTAGTAACACCATGAGGATATGGTATCTTTCTGACTGTTCTCTTTATCACTGTGCTGTGCAGCTTTTCTGAAGTAGCAGGATTAACCAAACTCAGCCCTGGGACACAATTCAATATCCATTCTTCAGTCTTTAGTGCGAATAAATACAGGAATTATCCATTTAAACAGCATGGCTGTGCTTTTTAAAAGGAAAAATCTGCAGTTGATACTGATGTGCAGTGCCTTGCTCAAGGACCCATGTGACATGTTTCTGCTTGGGCTTTGTTCCAGTGGGGGAAATATGGCTTTACAGATAGATTTGCATAGCTTTGCTTGCCAGAAATTTGAAATAAGGAATCCAACAGACTCATTTCTTCTTTTTTTCTTTATGTTTAGTTTCCAAAGACTTTAGGACCAACTTCAAAAGTGGTCACATCAAAAATCCTGTCGACCATGGTGCTTTTACATAGGAACTCCTTCTATAGGGTGATGGAAACTATGCCTGTGTGAGTTAGAGAAGATAAACATACCCTGATGTATCTTTAACGTTTTTTGGAAAAGCTCTTCATGCACAGCCTCAGATACTCAGGCTGCTGGGAACTATTTGATATGATCCCACCTCCTGGTCATTTTTCACTGGACTACAGAAGGTCACCTGATCCAAGATGAGTCCAAGCATAGGTCAAAACCAGAGTTTGATGTGGTCTGACAGAGAATTCTCTGATGTATAGGACGCATACAAACAGATCTATTTTTTTTCCTGACTTTTTCCCTGGAAAGATTTTTGTTTGTTTTTATGATAGTGGGGTAGAGAGAAGCAGATACAGCAGGAAGACTTAATCATTTTAGTCATGAAACATAGTTTTCTGATCCCTCTGATGGAGAGTCTTAGATCTGCCATAAATCCAGAATCTCTCTTCACAGCTAGTGTTGTGAAACCTGGTCCTATTTGGACTCATATTTCTTCACTCTGTGAAGTTCGGCCTTTGCTTTGTGCTATTGCTGAATACATACATTCCCCACCCATCCCCACATGGTGCCACCCTCAAGCAGTTTCCATTTCTTGTCTCCTCCAAACTGTGTACACATATTGAAATGAGCAAATGGGCATCTGTATAGAATATGTGTGTATGGTTGTATAATTATGTAATTATCATACTGAAATTGGTAATATAAGACATGCTAGTATATGTGCATGTTTATGTACACACTGTATCTATCTGAATTAATGAGGAGTATTTCAATTCAAAGATGACAAGGCTTTTCTTTGACCTACACAAGTTTTTAGGAACACATTTAAGCCTTCATTGGAAAATCGGTTGATTATAATGTAAATTTTAATCTCCAGGCTCTCCTAGCTTTTAGACTCATGTGGAAAGAGCTAACTGGATCTACACTATACATGCCATTCTGATGGAGGCTGACATGATCCTTTGATCCCAGACCTCACCTGTCCATTTTCCTGTTGTTTCCCATCACCAAGTATTAAGACTCTTTAGTATGCTTACTTTTGGAGACAGGATCTCCCTGTTTATCTCTAGCTTGCCTAAAATTTACTGTGTAGATATGACTAGCTTTGAACTCACTTTCTTTACCTCCTGAGTGTTGGGATTATAGGTATGCTCACCAAGCCCAGCTGTCAAGGCTGTGTGTGTGTGTGTGTGTGTGTGTGTGTGTGTGTGTGTGTGTAAAACACATTTTTGCTTAAAAGTGCTGAGAATCTATGTCTTTGTCTACCTCTGTCTCCATCTTTGTTTCATCATCTCTCTCAGAATAAAACTAAGGGGTTTAAGGTTATAACTCAGTGGTAGAGTACTCATCTAATATTTGTAAGCCTCCAGATTTGAACCACAGCACTCCACAAATAATAACCTCAGAAAACACAGCATAGCTGGGGAAATAGGCCTGTGTGTTATCTTTCCTACACTCAACCAATCTGTCCATACATATTGCCTGCTCAGCCCCTGGGAGCATTAATAACCCTTCTCCAGGGAGATGTGTGGGTGACAAGGACATTGGCTTTTTTTCTTCCTTTTGAAATTTAACATTTAATCACTCATGACTAGCACAAGTCAGGCACTGCCTAAGTTCTTTATCTATTTCAATCTATTTCATTCTCACAACTGAGGTGGGTCTCATTAATATTTCCATTTGCAGTTGAAGCAGCTAAGGCCGATCACTAAATGACTTCCACAGAGCTAATGGCCCATAAGGGCAAAGTCTGACTCTCACCCATATTCCCCCAAATCTAAGGACCCATTCTTACCCACTGGGCTGAACTCTCTCATGTTGCCTTTTGGCAGCAGACTGGCACAGGGTAAATGTTCTTTGAGCGCTTTTACGCAAGTGGGATCCAGTGATGGGGTGGCTTGTGTTGTCTATCCCTATATCATCCCCATCAGTTCGGAAACTAAGAAGGAAATAGCTGTTGCTTTTTGTTCAATCATAGGGAGCAGCTTTGTGGTGAGTGAAGGAAGCTACCTGGACATCTCTGATTGGTTAAACCCGGCCAAGCTGTCCTTGTACTACCAGATCAATGCCACCTCCCCATGGGTGAGAGATCTCTGTGGACAGAGGACAACAGATGCCTGTGAGCAGCTCTGCGACCCAGAAACTGGTAAGCTACAGGGAGCAGGGCTTGGGATGAGCATGATATGGGCTGAGGGGGGCTCTGTATTCTCTCTGCTTAAAGAACCAGAGATTGCTGAGTCATTGATAAGAGATTTGATGTGAAAGTCTGTTAGTCCAATCAGTACTTAAACTATGTGCTGCCATTTCCTGGTAAGGGAGGAAATTCGTAGAGAACCACAGAATCTCAGAGTTAGAAAAGCCCACAGAGGGCATCCAGGTCAACTCCCACAAAGCAGAATGTCTGAATGTCATGTGACACCACCAGGTTCAGGTCCCATTTGCTTTTAGGTCACTGGGCGTTCTGCAACAAGACATGATGTTATTTTTGAGTGTTAGGAAAAGAAAAGGGTGCTAACAAGCAAGCTTTCTGTTAACCTTAAATGAAAGCAGAGGGAGTGATGAAATCCATACAGCCTGAATGGGGAAAGGGGACTATGTGAGGGGAGAAGAGGACCAGCAAGAGGGCATCAGAGATGAATGAAAACAAAGTCTAATGACATATGTGCAAAAATGTCATAGTGGGACTCATTACTTTGTAAGCTCACTTAAAACGGAAAAAAAAATGAAGCTTAAATAAGATGATATGCAGAATGCATTCAATGTGTTCATCTGCATACTCATTCAATGGTCATTTCTTATAGGGAGGCACATTTTTAGACAATGTCTGTGCCCAATGAAGTTTGTGTGTGATTGTGTGTGGAGGGAAACACCAAATCTGCATGGTCTCATATGGTCGCCAATAGCCATACGTGCCTGTCTATATTAAATTTATTA